AGGAAGCTAGAGAAAAGAAAATGTTATTAAGAAAGTCCTAAGGAAGAGAAAATACATTTACAGCACTATACCTTTAAAAGTCTACATGTAGGGCGCCTGGGTGGCTCAGTTGGTTAAGCGACTGCCTTCGGCTCAGGTCGTGATCCCGGAGTCCCGGGATGGAGTCCCGCATCGGGCTCCCTGCTCAGCGAGGAGCCTGCTTCTCCCTCTGACCCTCCCCCCCTCTCATGTACTCTCTCTCTCATTCTCGCTCTCTCAAATAAATAAATATTTTAAAAAAATAAAAAATAAAAGTCTACATGTAAAGGGAAACGGTTTGAGCATTTGTATATTGCTCCATTTGAATTTTGCAAGATGGAATTCGGATGAAATGCTTTTGTACTATAACTTCATAAGGACCACCTTCAACAGAACTGGCAGAGTCCATGTGAAGGGTCTTTACCCTCAGGGACAGGATAACTTCTCTTTCTCAACACACTCTTCTGGTGCTTTCTCTTTCAGAAAGCATGCTCTGAATTGCCATCGGATGAAGCCAGCTCTCTTCAGTGTGCTCTGTGAGATCAAGGAAAAGACAGGTAGGCCATTGAGAAGACATTTTTTGTGGGTCCAGGACCATGACAACCATGCCCCTCTGGTCCTGGCTCAGCCTGATGTGTGTGTCGTGGACTGTCACGCCTGTCCCATCTCCCTCAGTGGATGGTTCACATGCTTCCTTTCTGCCTTGTCAGGGCCTGTTCTCTGATGTATAACATCCTTGTATTTTGCAGTTTGTATCTGGAGTAATACTGTTGCCAGTGAGTAACAAGCAGCTGCATTGTTCTTAAGCAAGACCTAAGAGGCACTGTGGCATTCAGTTGTTTTGGAAAAGGAAAAGATGATAGAATTAGAAAAGTAGAATAATAACAATTTTGTTTTATTTGTTTTAAGCATTGAGAGTAATCCCCATGGAGGCTTCTGCCACTGCAAATCCTTTTGTTAAAAAAACAAAAAACCCACAAAACTTTATTTTGAGTTAATTTTAGATTTGCAGAAAAGTTAAAAAATAGTACAGCCCATTCTCATGTACCCTTCTCCCAGCTTCCTCTCATGTCAACACCTTCGGAACCACAGTGCAATGATCAAAACCAGGACATTAACTGTGGTACAGTGCTCTTGAACTGAACAACGGGCTTTATTCGGATTTCCTCAGTCTTTGCCCTAATGCCCTTTTTCTGGTCCAGCCTCCCACATTGCATTTAGTCATTCTATCTCCTTAGTCGCCTCTGATCTGTGACGGTTCCTCAGTCTTTCTTCATCATCTGTGACCTTCACACTTTGGTTGAGAACTGCTCATTTTGTGGGACTGACGTTTGTGGGGAACCGTATTAGTTCAAAGAAATACTTCATGGCGATCTTCATGGTATTGCTCCCAACCCAGCTAGCCGCCAACGTTTTATCTATTGTCTTTACCAACACTTTCCTTTCTCATAAAAGCCAGACTGGGCTATATTTCATTCCTGATCCTTTTACCTTCGAGTGCACTTTGTAACCAAGAAGCTTTCATTCTGCATTTGTTCTCATAGGTTCCTTGTGCATGTTTGACTTTTTATTTTGAAATAATCAACAGATTTACAGAAATGTTCCAAGAACAGTGCAAATACATTTTCTTCCTGCACTGTCAGGGAATAGGTTGCTGCCATGATGCCCATGACCCCTGCACACTGGAGTGTGTGTTTCCAGTGAACAAGAGAGTTTCCTGTGTCCCCCCCAGGACAACCCTTATATCAGGAAGTGACATTAATATGCCACTACCATGGAATCCTGACCTTATTCAAGCTTTGTCAGTTGTCCCAATAATCTATAGAAAAGGATGCAGGCCAGGATCTTGTGTTACATGTAGTTATCATGTCCCTTTGGTCTTTTCCCCTCTGTGACAAGCCCCTATTTTTCCTTGACTTTCATGACCTTGACCATCTGGAAGATTACAGGCAGACCCCTCCATTTGGATTTATCTGATGTTTCCTCACAATTAGATTTCCGCTTTCATTATCCTCAGTACTTTTACTTATCTGTTCAGTTTTCCTTGCACCCCACATATACCCGATCCTCCTCCCTAATGTGAACCCCTTTCAACCCTCAGCCCCCACTCCCATCCCCCACCAGGTCACTGCTGGGACAGCTGCCGTGTGATGCCCTCTTGCCCAGAGCCAACTCGCCCTCCTCCATAGATGCCCCCTCAGGGCTGTGACATCCCATGCTGAGCTCCCACTCAGGTGCCTCCCAAAGGTGTTTGAATGTCTAATGGCCTGTCTTGTCCGTTTTGTATTTAAATTATGGGGAGCAGATATTATGGCTTCTAGTAGATTGAAGTGCAAAGGTTGGGCATTTTGCAGGTTTCAACAAGTTTACCCTCAGGCCCTCACAGCACTCCCTTCTGTGTTGTATATGAATTGGATAAACAGCACTCCTACAACTGAGTGAGCAACAAACCCCGGAGTCCTGTGGGCGGGAAGAAACTGCCCATGGCAGCGTATGTCCATCCCCTGGAGACGTTGGCTATAATCACATGCTCCTTAGTACTATTGAATTGTGTGACATTGGTCACCCTCATAAAAAATCAGCCAGGGTCTTGCTAGGGTGTGCTGTCCCCCTGCCCAGCCCTCACCTGGCCCTGGGTAAAAACAGCCCTTCTGGGGCTCCCCGCCGCCCCCAGCTGTTGGCTCTGTCATCATAGCTCCTTGGATGTGTGGGACCCTGAGGTTTTTTAAATGACAACAACCTAGCTCTGCAAATATGGAATTTAGCAGTACTAAAAACAATTTTTAAGGGGCACCTGGGTGGCTCAGTCGGTTAAGTGTCCGACTCTTGATTTCGGCTCAGGTCATGATCTCCCTGTTGTGAGATGGAGCCCGGCGTTGGCCTCTGCGCTGGGCGTGGAGCCTGTTTAAGATTCTCTTTTTTTTAAGATTCTCTCTCTCTCTTCCTCTCCCTCATGCTTCCTTTCTACCAACTGGCTCAAACGTTGGACTGCATAACGTGTTTTGGGGCGTGGTACCACAGGAATGGGCCAGCACTACTCAGCCTTGAAAATTGCAGGCCATCTGCAATTGCCATGAGCTGGGCTCCACATGGGCTGGCTGAGTTGTCAGGTTCACTGTGGCCAAGTGTCTTTTCTCATCAGTAGGAAGTGCAGCTGTGGGAGCGCTGTGTGTCCAACATGTGAGTGGCAGGAGAGTAAACAAGATCTCAGTTAATGCTTCAGCTTCTCCCAGTCTTGTGACGGGAATAACCCAGTATTAGCCCAAAGAAAACTACTCAGGGCCTGATCCTGCACACTGGCGCCAGTGGGTCACCACCTTATTGGTGATCCTGAGAGACAGGCCTCCTGGGACTCCTCATGCAGGGACAAAGCATGTCTGCTTCTTGAGTTAACCCACATATTCTTCACATTCCCCTCTGGCTAAAGTCTGCAACAGGCCTTTAGGGTAAAGACCAAACCCGTGCAGAGCGTTGAAAGCCCAGTGCGCATTGTTGGAGCACAGGTTGCAGTCCAGTAGCTCCGAGCTTCCTGGCATTATTGTACCACCGTGCTGGCAGCCTCTGACTTTCCTCTTGTTTTAGAGATAAGCAGAGTGAACCTCTGGAGAGAGCAGGTCACACCCCAGTAGCCCACAGCCAGGCTGCGTGCTGCCCTTCCACACCCTGTCCTGACTCAGAAAGGGAACCCTCCCTGTGCCTCCCAGCCCGCACCCACCAGCCCCAAGTGCCATCTGTGTCCCCACTGCTCTCACTGCATCCATGATGGCTCTGGGCCTTTGCCATCTGTCTCCTCCAGTGAGCTCAGGGTCCAGGTATACTGTGTTCTATGACTGTCCTGGTACTTGGCACACAGTGCCATGTAGCTTGGGTTTTTGTTGAATGAAGAACTGTTTCTGGTGACTGATACCTATTAACTGAAATCCTTTTCATCCTGTTCACTTTATGGGGTTCAGGAAGATTGTGTCTGCAGCCTGACTTAGAACACAAGGCTATTGTTCACGTCGTCCTGAGAAGAAAGCCATCCTGTGTATAAACCCTGTGTTGGCAGACACACCTGGAAGCACTGCCTCACTTCACTGCCTTCCACTATCTCCTCTGGCCTGTGGGAGGAACACTGGAGTATCTTCCACACCAGGAATGTCTGGGCATCCCTGCCCGCAGAGCTCTCTGAAGGCCAAGGACCGCCCCAACCCCCCCAGGAGTGTACCCTCCCTCCTGAGTCCTTCTCTCTTCTTGGCGTCTAGAGGAGCTGTCCTAAAAGAACAAAATAAAGCATGTTTGAAGAGTTTGGGATTTAGCTGGGAGGACCAAATACTGGCCCGGTTCCTTTCCTGAAACCCTTGGGGCTAGATGCATTACAGAATTCAGAATTGTTTGGATTTTAGGCATGTTGTGTTGATGATTCCTGAGGCAGAGCCTGCATTCCAAAGGTGACATTTAGCACCAGAGCAGGAACATTCTTACGCACTGGTTGGGTCAGGCTTTGCCTCCAAATGAACTTGAGGGCCAACTTCTGGAAAAACATTGGCTCTTGGATTGTGGATGGACAGGCAGCTTAGACCCGGTGTGCAGAGGAAGTGCCCTGAAAAGCCACCTGGCATCTTGGGCAGTTGACTCAGGGACCTGCTTTGTCTTCTCCGCGCGGTCACTGTCCCTGTGCTGGTCATAAGCGCACATCTATACCTTGGTTTGGTCGGTTCTGTGCTTACCGTCTCCTGAGAAACGAAAAGTCCCGGAGACCTGTCTTGGCCAGCCTTGCTCTTGGGCCAAGGAACTGTCTCTGCTGCAGGAGCACAGCTGGCTGCCTTTCAGAGACGTAAATGTAAATAATAGGTAACATAAGGGAACGTCTTGTTATTTCCTGACCACTGTTCATTGGCCTGGCGAGGACCTGTCAGGCTTGAGTAATCCAGCGGGCTTTTTACCTTCATTTCCCTTTCCTTGTCAGCCAGTTGGGTCTGTTGCAATTGCAAATTCATGATCTTGATCTTGGAGTTAGAGGTTTGAGCCCCACATTGGTGTGGAGATTGCTTTAAAATAATACACATCTTTTAAAAAGCTCAAGAACCTGAAGGGTTTTAGTTGCAGGTGCACCTCCAAAAAAGAGTGAGCCAGGAGCTTTAAGGCCGTAGTATGGACCCAGATTCTTGGAAAGCACCCCTTTCTTGCAGAGTCTATTACCCTGTTCAGGTTTTTTCTTAGGGTTTGGCCATTGACTAAAATGATCTTGTGCTTTTGTTTCTGGTCTGCAGGGACAACCTTCACCCTTTGAGTTGGTCACATTTCCTGTCCTTAACCTTGCCCGTCTGTCCCTCCCAGGCTCCTGGTCGCATCCTTTCCACCAGCACTTGAGGACAGAGCTGAGGAGAGGCCTCCCTGTCCATGTCTGACTTGCCGCAGCGCTTCTAAAGGGTCCCCAGTATGTCTGAGTGTGCCAGGCAGTCTGGGGAGATGCTTGTTATCAGGTTAAGGAGGATTCTTTCTATTCATGGTCTGCTAAGGGTTGTTGTTTTGTTTTTAAGATTTTATTTTTAAGTAATCTCTCCATCCAACATGG